CCTTATACACCGGCTTACCACATCTCGGCAGACAGAGCTCCCTTATCACGAAACAGTTGAAAAGGTTATGTAACACTTACTATCCACAAATTTACCCAACTTTAGACTAAAAAAATTGTTTCCGCTACAAATATCGTTTGACGTCTGCCCATTGTTCACATCTCGTCTATTTATACACGTGCAGAGACTATAAGGCCTCCTATATTGGTGAAACAAAACGACACCTTAAAGTACGAGCATATGAACATATGGGCATATCTACTAAAACTGGAAGAAAGGTTACAAACCCTCCCGACTCCGCTATCTATCAACACAATACAGTAACAGGACATCCGATTTCTCTTTCAAACTTTAAAATTATTTCAACAGTCAAACATGATACTGAACTTCTCATAAAAGAAACATTACACATACAAACTCTTCTCCCGTCCCTAAATAACCCACACACACACAGTCTTCACTGGATTTAAACCTATTTTAACCATTTCACTAGTGACCCAGTTTTCATTTTTTCGTGTTCTATTTGTATATTCGATTTGTTTATTTCTGTTGTAATTACTAATATTGTTTGTTTGTTTGTTTTGTAAACCTAGATTACCGATGATGGAATTATGACGATTCCGAAACGTTTAATAAATGTTTCCCGTTATTAAGTTCGTATTTTGTTTTATTGTTCTGTTGAATATTAATTTATTTTTAAAGTTTTATAAAGCATCAAGACTCTAAGACTGTTAGTACTACAGTAGTTAGAATTGATTTTCTTACTTAACATATGTTTAATTTATCTTTGAACTTCATACATTTAAATACAAATGATTTATCCACTCTTACTGTGATCGCAGAATACCACTCCATACCCAAATCCTTGCTTGGCGGCTGATGCTGGGAAAGAACAGCAACATCATTTTTTCTTCCAAGAACGCAGGTAGCGCCACCTGTTGTTGTTACGTGGAGAGAATATACAGTTTCTTTGATGTTGAACTTAGGAGTCAACATACACAATGTAATTCTGGTGTTGAAGGCAGAACCGTTAGACTGCGCATGTCTGTGGAAACATTAAACGCATCATAAAAGGTTACTAAGATTTCACATTTCAATGCTATAAATGACATTCTATTTTTTTTATAGGTAGGTGTTTTCAAACGATTTTTACTAAACAAAGTAAAACAGGAAGATATTAAACTTAGTTTCTGTTTCAACAGTTATACACATTGTGCATGTTGAAGTGATATTATAATTTTGTTTCCTTAAACATGTAACGATATTTAAGTGGTAGAGTTATTGTTAATTAGGCTTAAAAAAATAAAACATATCTAGGTGGCAGAGTTATCGTTAATTAGGTTTAAGAAAAATAAAATAAATCAAGATGGTTGAGTTATCGTTAATTAGGCTTAAGAAAAAATAAAATAAATCAAGGTGGTAGATTTATCGTTCATTAGGCTTAAGAAAAAAATTCAATCAAGGTGGTAGTTATCATTAATTAGACTTAAAAAAAATAAATCAATGTGGTACAGTTATCGTTGATTAGACTTAAGAAAAAATAAATCAAGGTGGTAGAGTTATTGTTAATAAGGCTTAAGAAAAATAAAATAAATCAAGGTGGTAGTTATCGTTAATTAGACTTAAGAAAAAATAAAATAAATCAAGGTGGTAGTGTTATCGTTAATTAGGTTTAAGAAAAAATAAAATAAGTCAGTTTAGAAATTAAAGGATACATTAGCAAACAAAGTGGCAAACCATAAAAAGAACAGCAAACACTTATAAATCTGCTTCAAGACAACTACATTTTAGAGTAAATGAAATATTCGATTTCAAGCGGCTCTAAAACTTTTTCTTAGATTCTTTCAGCTAAAGAGTAAAACTCAAAAACTTTTTTTCTTATTCGTTGGTGAAATATTCGCCTCATATTTTTGTTTTGTGTTTATTGAAAAATAAATATTTCAACAAGAAACTTCCTAGAGAATGACCTGCGTTTCCTTTCTTTGTTTGATTCAAAGCGAAGCCACATTGGGCTGTCTTCTGTGCCCACCGAGGAGAATCGAACATTGGATTACAGTATTATAAGTCCGTAAATTTACCATCATCCCACCAGGGGACACCCGCCTACGTCCGTAAAGTGGAAATACATCTATCAGAAAAGATAGATAATAAACATTTCATATTTTAGAAAGAAACGATCTGCAGACCCTAGCGGCTCAGTGGTAAGTCTGAACGCTTACAATGCCAAAATTCGGGTTTCGATACCTGTTGTGGGCACAGCACAGATAGTCCATATTACTTTGTTATTCAGTTATTTCAGTTTGAAGCGTCTTTAAAACATTACAACAGTGATAATCAAAGAGAATTATACTATTGTGTTATGGTATCAGGTATTTCAGATTGAAGTGACAGTAAAAATTATTACGTAGTTGTTACAACTGAAATTCCGATACTGGCGCCCACAAGCGGGGTAATAGCGAATTAAAATAGTCAGTAAACTTACTTTAAAAATCTCATAAATACTTTCTTTAGAAGAACGTCAGATTTTTCATGATTTTCCTCTTTAAGAAACCGCAGTAATGTCTTCCGTGCAAGGTTCATGTCATCGACGTATTCTTCACTTTCAACGGCAGCTATTAGTAGACCGTGTTTTAGGCTTAATGAGTCCATTGGAGCAATAATTAACCTGTAAATAAAGCACGAGTTCTACTTCTTCCGTTACTAAAGCCAACGTTATTCAAATATACAAGCTATAAGTTAAAGAAACAAAATTACATAAGATAACACTGCTAACATCGTAAGTTTTGTTAAGCTTTTTTTTATTGCAGTAAGTGAAAATAAATTGTTCATTAATTTAATGAGTTCGTTTTAAAATTCAGTAATTCAAATTATTTTCAGTCGATTTTTGGACAATTATTCCTCATTTCTCCCTACCTGTCATGACTACCATAGCTTTCTGTTAAAGCGATTTCGAATGGACTGTCTTCACAAGAAAGTTGGTGCATGTCCTTGTCGCATGGTGGCGCTGTACGACCCGAGCAACTGACATCCACTACAGCTACATTTCGTTTTGTACTAAAGTAACAATATAAAAAATGATGAAACACTTCCTCTTGTTGAGTTTTTTGTTGTTGTTTTTAAACATAGCTATACAATTAGCTATATGTGCCTTGTCAAACGTAGGGAATCAAGCAACGGATTTTAGCGTTGTAAGTCCGTAAACCTATTGGTTTCTGTGGGACTAGAAACTGTATGAGGCTTATCTGATATATATATATATATATATATATTATATAAAGATGAAAAGTTGCCCGTTTATCCGTCTGTCACGCCGATATTTCGGCGGTTGCGATACCGATTGACATGCATCTTTCACCAAACGATGGCGCTTTCTGCCGTGACAAGCAAGTTTGTCTTTTTAAAATTCTTCTAGCCATATATATATATATAACGAACGATGCGCTACTTTGAGCATATAATTAGATTTAAGGGTAGGTTGGTAGAAATCGTGATGAGTGACAAAATTGAATCTGGTATACGTGCGCCCGCCCGTGCGCCTCACGCTTAGTATTGCTAGCGCATAAAAAATCATAATCTTTGGCTGAAATTCCCCATTACGGTTGCTTGGTTGTCAAGTAGACACATTGACATAACGTCACCAAATTTTGACCAATCGGAATCCTCGACTACAACTCTATAATAACCTACATGTTTTACCCGCAGCACATTTCAATTTTGAAAATGTCCAAATTAAAACATTTTGTACGACAACATATTAAAAGCTTATCAAATTTTTTAAAGAGGTATAACGTTAGGTCGTAAAATAATATTATACGTTTATTTACTGATAGTATTAAGTATGATAAACGTTATCCCTAACTTAAAAAAAATAAGTTACCGAATTAACTTATATCTTTCTTTTTTTCGGTTATAGGCCTTACTTACTAAATCTGAACTAAAACTAGGCCTAAGTGGACTTGTATATTTCGGTGTCTGCGATTAAAATTCTTTTGTATTGTTCTATAAATCCAGTATTTAAAGAAGTATTGTTCCAATAAAGATACTAATTTGACTGAAAATGTTTTACGGGCCTCTGCTAGTTTTATGAATATGTAGTTAAAAACCTCAGTATAGTGATCGAGTCCATATTGATCTAATTATGCTATAATAGTTAATATTTGTAGTTTTCCTCGACTGCTTAGCATTTTAGCTCTCTGAGAGCTTTAATTTAAAATAT